GTTCTCCTGTTACTCATTCAGTTGTATCTGAATTGGAAACAAAAGACAGGGCTCTACAGAATTCAAGAATACATACAGCCAGAAATTACAGAAATACTCAAATCTGATGTCTGGCTAGACCCATATCCAATGATACAGAGAAGGAAACAATGAACACTGCCAGGAGCAAGTCTCTGTAGGAGATAAAATTTTAGCTAAGCATTAACAGTGCATGTAGAGGCCTTGGTATAAGTGAGGAACTTCTGAGTTCAAAAACATACAAAAAAATGTCACTGCATGTACACCCACTCACCCTTTATACACACACTGAAACACACGCCCACCCACTGGCCTTCAGATGTGACACTGATGTATCGCAAGTGGATGGTTGGAGGATATTTGAAACACTTGCTTCCAAATAGCTTCATCTATTCTCTAATGATTTTCTAACACAAATGCCATTTAGATAAAGAAATTATTTTCTAGCCATGCTGTGATAAGCCTACCTAATTTTCTCCCAGCTACTCTTGTTAAGGACAGGTAAATAAGAGTGTTTACAAATAGCTCCTGTCTGAACATCATGAGCTGCAGTTCACCACGAATGAATGTCAGAACAAGCAGCAGCAGACCAGCATTGTCTTCCCTCCCACGTGGCTGTCCTTCAGCTGCCTAATGCTCAATAGTTTTTGAGATCTCATTTTGGGTATGCTGACATACTAGATACTGCAACAGAGTCAAAATCCAAATTGGCAGGGTCCTTCACTTACTCCCAACTCAGCTATACTGGTTACAGGGCTCCTGCCTAATGAAATACGTTTCTTTGCAAATTGCAAAGCTGCCTGTCAGTCAGCTCTCAGTAAATCCCAAAGGGATCCTGAAATTTTGAGGACACTTCCCTTAGTGATTTTAGCACAATAAGGAAAGGCAACCTGTTTTATTACAATGAAAATGTGTTCCTGAAAAATCTGCCCAGCAGTAATTTGTAAATGAACTGGAGACAGACAGACCTCCAAGAATTCAACTCATTTGTGAAGCTCTTTCAGTACAAGCCATGATTTGCTTAAAGCTACGAAATACTTTTTACCTTGAATAAGTTCAACAAACAATGCAGTTTTGAAGGACCCAAATGATGCTCAAGTTCTACTAATATTTTTAGGCAAGGTACGAATGTAGGCTAGATATAAACAGCCGAAGCATGGAAACAGTTTATTCAGTATCTTCTACAGGAAATACATCATTCTGAAGCGATGTTTATATATTGCTCCCTTTTAGACATCCATCTGTGTTTTTAAAAAGGGAAGGAAATTAACACTGTTGAATAATCTGAAAACATTTCATTCACCCCTGAAGTGAAATTTCTTTAACATCGACTTGTTCTGATACCGATTTCCATTTTAACTTTTCCTCAAGACACATGAAAACAAACAATCCAAACAGAAAAGCAGGCAGAATTTAGCATTTACTGAAGGTAACTATCATTATTTTCTTTAGAAATGAAGAATAAGACTAATTACACATAAGCTGTTACACTATTTGGCTTGCTAAACTCTTTCAACAACTAACATCTTATTTCATGGTTTGGACTTGTTTTTGTTTTCTGAGAAGCAAGTTCCATAGTACTGAATATGACATTTATGGACAATCTGTGCTCAGTGGCGTTTCTATAAAGATCACCATAGATTTTGGGCCTTTGCTGGTTATTTTCCAAGCAACTAAAAAATGATCAGTGACGAGCATTCCCTAAACCTGCTGATGACTTTGACTCTTGTGCAAGCCCAATCTGACCTGCATACGCCACTTTTTTTCCTCACCAACCCTACACTTGTGGTTTCTGTAAGACAACACATCTAAACCTTGCACAAGAATCCTTCATCCTCAAGTCACTACAGAAAATCAAAATCAGATTCACAATCACTGCTCTGTTTTGAAAAATCTACTCCTTTTGCTATGCTGCTGGGTTCACACGTACCATTGCAGGTAAGCTCTTGAACTGATGGAGAATTGTACCAATTGGGGTAGAGGGCTCTGGATCAAGCCCAAGTACTTCTTGGAGCATTGTTTAATTAGATAAGTGCCCATTATAATTAATTCCTTTTATTCTATCTCACCCTATCCCATCCGAAAGAGGTGGGGCGAAGTTTTCATATGTAGCTATTCAAACTACAAGGAAAACAGAAGGTTTTGAAAGGTAGTCCTATAAAGAGAACACCAATTAAATCAATACAAAATTATTTTATACAAATGTTATGTCATATCCACAAACAGCACATACAATTTTCTGTCAACTAAAAAATTTAAGAAACTCAGCACAACACTAGAGATATTAAAGTCTCACACCTCTATTTTCTACTATATTTCAGGCTACAAAGATCTCTGTAAAGGCAGAGTAACTCTTGGCTTCAACAAAATAGCACAAACATAAAACCTGAGTCATGCAGTAGAGGGTCAAAACCTTGCAGATGACGTTGCTCAAATCCCTCAGTTTCAAGGGAATAAAAACCATGTAATTGCAGCAGCTTTAAATCTCCTAGTAGCCACTAATTTTAAACAGGAATTAAACCCTCCATATTCTACACTGTGTAGCAGGGGGAGAATGTTTGAAAATTCACTTCTACATTGATGGAAACTGAAAACTAAGCAGCTTCAAGGTCCAAAACCTGTTGATGCCAAGTGTCTTTTAGGGAAAAAGATATTTTAAGATAAAAAAGGATTATTACAGTCATCTACTCTGACCCTTTGAGTCATATAAGCAGAAGTATTGCACAGTAAAGTGTCTTATACCCATAATTTCTGCACGACTTTTTTTTTTTAAAAACAAGAAACTAGCTGCACTATGAGACCATTTGCCATCATATTATGGAACCATACAGTAGAATCAGTTACAGGTATCTGTATAGTTAATGACTGGCATGCCTGAATGACAGAAGTTATCTTTTGTAACTCTGGCCCACATCAGTTTATGGAAGTCAAAATATATTTTCAGAAGAACCAAATGCCTGGCTTGCAAGCCTAATTCCAATAATTCTTTCTACCAAAAACGGGTAACATCAGTTCTTCAGTACAGTTCTGAAGGAAGTAGAAATTTTCTAACAGTAAGTGAAAGTCAAACATAAGCAATACCTGAAACTGGCAATTTAAGAAGGTAAAATGAAAATGGTCTGTTTTGAATTGTGTGTTTGTGAGTACTTTTGTCAGAGCAAATATAATCTATAGGCTACCCTGCTGCTCTCCTTTCTCTTATTCTTTATAAATCAGAAAACTAATTACCCAGAAAATGGTCTCCTGTAGTAAGAAACTGAACAGATTTAATGTATAATTTATATATGGAAATTTAGGTGTCAACATTGTGACAAATCATCACATAAATATTTTTGCAGTTAGATTTTTCCGCATCTGTCTTCCTCAAAGAATGAGCATAATACAGATTATCTCAATGATATAATGCTGTTTTGGTAGGCGAAGCTGAACTGCATTTTTAATTTTTTCTCAGCTACAAATCAATCAAAATGAACAAGGTTTTGGTGCTGTATGAGAGAAGCTATTTTGACACCATCTCTCTTAGGAGACCGCCATTCACAGAAAGGACGCTAAGATGAAGAAAATAGAAATTAAACAGAATGACATTTTCCATCACCCATGGTTGATTTGGGTGTTCTGAACTTTTCCCCTTTATTCTAAGGCTACCATTATAACTTTAGAGCCATTTCATAAATGCTTTTGCTTCAAGTGAGTCTTGGAAACTAGTTTTGCTTTGAAACATGTTTCTTTAATAATAGTCTTTGAATTGTTAGCTATCTAATGGACTCTTTGTAGAGTTCAGAGGCTCTAAACATAAAGTCTGACAATTGAATCCAATAATCTATCTGTATTGAGGTGCTCCAACCATGGGTGTGTTAAGACGAGCAACACTTTAAACACTGACTGCAGAGCCACATAGCTATTAGGCTGCTTTCTGAAAATCAGCTACCCAAAATTATTAGAAATTTTGAATATTCAGGTTTTAATACATTTAACAATGGGGTAAGATCTTTGGCATTTCACAGGGAAATGAGTGTTTATCATCTCTCTCTGACATTTCCTTGTTTAGAGAGGAATAACTGCAACTACATTTCCAAGATCTCACATCAGCCTAACAACTTCGACCTGTGAATGGTGAAAGAGTTGGAAGCCATTTGTTCAGAGAAGACAGCAAGGAAATAAGTATTTCTGTTTATTCAAAACCACTTGGACCCAAGACCAGACACTTGGAAATGACAGTTGGAGTTCTTTTTTGATGTTTTCTTCCATGATTTTTCTTACTTGTTTATTTAAGTCCACACACACATTTAGCATTCATAACAGCCTGTGGAAGGAGCTCCATAGTTTAACTACATATTGCATGAAAACACATTTCTGTTGTCTTTTTCAGTTTTGTTTGTTGTGGCTTTTTACATGCTCAGCCCACTATTATTCTATTCCCTAGACATAATCTTTTGGAGAGTGTTTAATAGTACAGTTGGGAATTTAGTCCCATATGGTATGGCTGTTCTGATGTCACATTTATTCAGAAATAGCTATTCATAACAAGCTCAAATTCATTAATTTATCTTCTACTCCAGCCACCTGGAAACATTTAATGTCAAGTCAAGAAATCTCAACAGTACACGCAAGGTTGCCTTTTGCCTGACTGAGGGGCAGGGGTGGGGACTGCAGATGAAGAAAAAAGCCTTAGGAGTGGAGGGGAAACTTGGTCACCGTACGTCTGTTACCATTGAGAGAACAGGAGCAGTGACTCCTGACTGAAAGAGGCACTTCAAAATGATTCCCCTTACTTCCACACTAAATTACTCCCCTGGAGAAAGAACCAGCCTTGAGAAACGAGGAGCAGGAACGTGGTGCATTTGCTGCCCCAGACTATCTTTTTGCCTATGGGGACACTGGCACTCTTCCTTGTAATCTCTTCCAGATGCATGCTGCGCCATAGCCAGTTGCATGCCCACCATCCTGAGCTCTTAAGTATAGAGGGGGGTCACAAATCTTACTCTGTTTGTGCCTCGCTGTCTTTCTCAGCATGGCCTCCTCCATTCGTGCTTTTTCTTCCCACTCCTTCCAGCGCCTCAGCTGCTCTTCTCTCATTTTGTAGAACAAGATCTGCTTTTGCTCTTCATTCAGCTCTGCCAGGAGCTCAGGGTCAATATACATATCACGCAAAATTTGCTGCAGCATGATGATGCAAAAAAAAAAAAAAAAAAAAGATTAACCTGCTTCCAATTATACTCACTACAGTGACAAAACCCCACCGACGGCACTCCAGAAAGCAACCTGCAGCAAAAGAGCTCTCCTACACCCGCCTGCCCAGGAGAGGTTTGATTCTCTCTCTGGCCCTCTTTGTGCAGACATATTCTGCTCCTTGTCTCTCACAGGGATGGAGTTCTCTGCTTATCTCATCCTCCAAAGCTAGGGACAGGTGTCAGGTGAAAGGAAGGGGGAGGAACAGACAAGGACAAGAAAAAAAAAAAGATATTAAAAGGCCAGGAGGGAAAAAGAAATATGTCACTTCAGTGCTCCTGACTGCAAGCCGGTAAAAATAAGGGATTCTTGATTGAACCCATCAGCTTTGCTCCCTCGAGCAGAAGAAAATTCAATGTAGAGAAAGTCTCAGATGAAATTTCAGCTGAAGCGGTTCCCTTCAGCAGCAATACACTCCCAAGGGTGTAAGCATTGCCCAGGGGGTTAAAGTGATGTCACAGTTAAAGGTATCACCTACCAACAACATCTGTGTCACTTTGGGAACTGATCTGTTCTGATAAGAGAGGAGAAACGAGTTTGCATATTATTTCCCAGTCTAGCCTGTTAACTAGGCTCAACAGGGTAGGTCATATTTGAGGTCCTATTTACCTGGTGTTGACAAATATTATCATGCAGCAAACTGATTACAATGCCTCTAAAATTAAAAGCAGATGCAACAAAAGCCACAAGAATCTTGTTAGCACTTCATAAATAGTAAATTAATATTAATTAAACAAGAGTAAGTTCTCAGCAGTTCATGCCAACTGTGCAAGTCCTGCTGTTAATTCACTTTCCACTTTGTGACTGAAGGAAGTTACAGTGTTGCTCTTCAAGCAAACTGTGGCTTTTCACTATGTAACAGAGTTTTACCAAAATTGTATTTCAGCACCAGGACCAACAGCCACTTAATTTTGTAAAAAAAACAAAAACACTACCAAAAAACCAAACCAAAACAAAACAAAAGATCAACAAAAAAACTCCACGGCACACACACACAAAAAAACTAAAACCAAACACAGAGCCAGCATTCACCGGGCAGAGGCCCAGCTCCTCCGGGGAGCAGTGGCACTTTGTGGGAAGTGGGCCATCTTCTGAGGAGGTGGACACTCGGAGTCATAACAAAACACAGATCACATTTGCTGTCTGAGCTGCATCCCACTGTATGATGTTCATACAAGAATGAAGAGCAAAAGCAGATCTGTATCTCTGCACAAGAAACCTGCTTTATAGATAGGTATCCGTCAAACTCTTAATGACTTCCATATTCAAAAACTTACACTGTTAATGCATCTGTTCATGTAAGATTCTTTTGAGGTATGCAAAATACTATTATCTTAATTTAGGCAGAAAATACATCTGATCCAAACTAAAATTCAACGGAAGACACTGTATCACCTCGAAGTGTGAATGCAGATGATGCTTTCAGCAGAAAGCTTGAATGATACTTTCAGCAGAAACAGAATTTTAGAACCCGTCATGTTCAGGCCTTATAGAGTTCAGTTGACGTGCATGCTACTCTGCAATTCAGGATCTCTCTTATGTACAGATTCTGTTTCCTAAAATAAAATGCCTTTTTTTTTTAATTTTTTTTTTATTTTTTTTTTTATTTTTTAAGAAATACAGTTTGGCAAGAAAAAACCTAGGGTAAGAAAGACTTTGTTACTGCTTCTTTCTTATATTTGACTTGGTCAGGTATAGAAAGAGGAGAGCCTTGGGGGTTTGGCCTTTGTTTCTCTGCCTTTATTCAATTATAGTAGAGCTGTGGCTCCACATTTTGGCACTAATTGAAAAAGACTTGCCTTTGCAAAGGCTTCAGGGCAAGCAGTTTTGCTGTTCTACCCATTTGTCATCTTTCTTATTTTATTTTACTTGACTTCACAGAACAGAAATCAAATCCTGATCAGAAGCTATCACAGTGCAAAGAACAAACTCTTCATCAAGGATTATGTGCATGTAAGCATAAGAACCACCATTTCTGAACTGCGTTTAGCTGGAGATACGAGATACAAGACAGCATACAAACATTTTCATGCAACTACTGGTAATGTTCGATGAGCAATCACACAATAAAAATAGCAAGAGCAAGGAGATGAAATGAATACTTCATGAACAACACATTGCCTGAAGATTATTCACCAAAAATATTTGTGAATGGTAACCAAATGATCAAGTGGAATTAATATGTGTGGGAATTATTTTCTCTTTTTAAAAAGTCACATGTGGAAGTGTTAGCATCTAATCAGAGAAATTAATCTGATCAACATCCTCTCTCATAGCTTTTCTTCTTTGCATCATAGCAAACTCAAAATAAAAAATGGCAGAAATGCAAAGGGGAAATAGGGCAACACCCAAGAGAAGCAGAAAGATACATCATAAAGTGTGCCACTAGTTTCTTGTCCAAGATAAAAATACTCTGCCTCAGAACATTTGATCTTTGAACTCTCATATGGGTGGCAGTTTTTCATCAACTCTCTCCCTGTGCTTTCACTGGTAGCTAAGTTTCAGTGTTTTCATCAGTCCCTTCCTTTCCCTTGCTAATTAATATTTGATTTTATATCAATTTGTGAATGGAGTGAATGGAAGGAGAGAGATGGTTACCTAGCTGAATGTCCCAAAGATACAGACAATGTTGGTCATATAAGTAAATACTAGGCATGCTTGAGAAACTATCCAATGTTCCACTTATCAGAAAAGACATCACAGAATCACAGAGTGATAGGAGTTGGAAGGGATCTCTGGAGATTATCTAGTCCAACCCCCCTGCCAGAGCAGGTTCACCTGCAGCAGGTTGCCTAGGATCTCATCTAGGCAGGTTTTGAATATCTCTAGAGAAGGAGACTCCACAACCTCCCTGGACAGCCTGTTCCAGTGCTCTGCCGTTCTCAGAGTAAAGTAGTTTTTCCTCATGTTTAGATGGAACCTCCTGTGTTCAAGTTTGTATCCATTACCTCTTGTCCTGTCACTGGGCACCACTGAAAAAAGACTGGTGGATGATGTTCCCAGAAATACAAGCTTTGAATATTTTGGGCCAATGAGGTATTTGGCCCAAATTAGCCCTAAACTGTTGGCTTCATCAGGAGCTAAAGCTCCTCTGTCAGGAGCTGGCAACACCCAACCCATCTATGATGAGCACCTTGCAGGACATGAAATAATTTGACAGCAGGTCCACCTTCCACATACCCTCACCAGACTAGAAGTGCTAAGGAGCAATAAATAATTCAGACAATGAAATGTAGTCACTAACCATCATTCCTGTAACTCAAATCTCTTCTGCATCTGACACAAATCCTTTCAGAATCACATTTCTCTTCTCTGAAGAAATACTCTTGAAGAACTATTAGAACACAATTAAATGATCTCTCCGCTACAGGCATAATGAGCCCAAACATGCACTGCAAAGAACAAAAATTCAACTCCAGAAAATGTAATCATCTTTCCCCTTGTAGTAACCAACATGGGGAAGATGGACTGCAGGAAAATTCTCCCTCTCATCCTTTTTCCAGCCCAGTTTATTTCCAAGCCTTTCCACTTACTTTTCTGCCCACTGTGATGAAGCTTCTTGAGAAGCCAGTTTCCTCAGCTGGTGGACCAAACACAAGAGCCTTCTTGACTAGCTGTAACCCCTTATCCAGAATGAAAGCATATTTGTGTAGAAATGTTCTCTTTTTGCATTGCTTGTCTTCCATGGGAGACATCATTTTAGATGTTAATGCCCTCCACACATCTGGCCTTTTGTGACCTTTAAAAGTAGACTGTTTTCACAGCCTGCTCCCATAACACACAGAGGTGTCAGGATGACCAGTGAGACACAGTGAGACAAGAGCAGGGAAATTTGAAGTAAGGGTGCCCACTTCCTGATTGTGGCCATTCATCATCTTCCCAGCCTTTCTAGGGTGTATTTTGAATAATTTAGAAAGACAATGACCTCTCCATTGTTCTCCCATATTGGTTACCCCTAGCTCAACAGTCTAAACTAAGCTAAAATCATTACAGAAAGACATGACATCTTAACAGCCCATATGCAAAATAAAAGATTACTATTAATGCAGTTCTTTGTTGGCAACCATTACCTTACAATAACCATCACACAACTTGATGTTCTAATTAGTAGCAGTCTCTGCAATGAGCTCAGAGCTGTTTAAAATTTAATTTTAGAGTTTCCTTTAATCTTTAACAGTATCTTCTGGCACTAGACACACGCTGTCCCATCTCTAGTATAGCATCTTTTTGGCTAAGCAGTCCTCAGCACTGCCACTAGAATTCATCTGCCGGGGAAGGGAGGGAGAGGAAAACACACAGAAAAATATTTTAGTTTCATTTTTAAGAAAAGGGGAAGTGTTAAATGGCCAAGGCCTCCAAATCTCCTCATCCAATTTCCTCCAAGCATGTGCATCCTCCATTCCCCGAACTGAACAGCTCACTAGCAACGCTGAGCCAGCAGAATAGAATATTAATTAGGATTTTACAACACAGCCACATAACGTACTTTAGCCATGTCATTTACATAAAAATATTCTGCTATAACCTACATATTACAGGGAAAGAGAGGGGGATAATGCACCTCTCTCCTTAAATAAAGGGATATAATTAAGAAAAAAACAAAACAAAACAAAAAACCAGAAAATGCACTGATCATAATTTTTCCAGACTGTGAACCCTGTATCCTTTATCAATGTTTTGTGGTTTGTGTCTTTTTTATATATTTTTCATTTTTTAAGAGGAAGCGGTGTACAGCATCTGAATTTTTCAAGTCCTGCTGTGTCAGCATCAAAAGAAGAACAGTAGAATCTGGAATTGAATGGTGGGGGAGGGAGCTGAAAACGTGAGCAGGGAAAGGTAAAATTAACATTTGGTTGAGGTTGCCTAAACCCTACAAATCTGTCGCTAGAAAAGCAAATACAATAGGGCACTCCTGACAACAAGACAATCTTGTGTCG